CTCCAGCTGGTGGATATCCCTCTGAAGTTGCGGGTCCCACAGCTGGACACAGCACTCCCGGTGGGGTCTCACACGAGCAGAGTACAGGGGCAGAATCCCCTCCCTCGCCCTGCTGGCCACGCTGCTCTGGATCCAGCCCAGGATCCGGTTGGCTTTCTGGGCTGCCAGCGCACGCGGCCGGCTCATGTTCAGTTTTTCATCCCCCAGCACCCCCAAGTCCTTCTCCTCAGGGCTGCTCCTTTACTTTCTTTGGAAAAAGGAAAACTAAGGTGTGGTAAAAGGCAGTGTTTCAGCCTTCCACTGTGGCTCAGTCAGTCCCTGTGGGATCACAGGACTGCAGGGAAACCTGGGTTCTTCAGACGTGAAGGAAACCTGGGTATCGACAGAGGGACAAGGCGAGAGGTGCCGGGTGCGGGTCTCGGCTTGGCGCCGGAGTTGCCTCCTGCGGAGCTGATGGCCTGATGCTGGTTTGGGTGTTGGTGGCTTAGCTGGGGTGCTGCCCGCTTACCCCCTGGTTTTGGCAGCAGGCTGGGCACTGACCTTCAGGTGCCAGTTAAGAGCGCAGAGGTGTCCTGCTGTAAACACAAACCCTGTGTAACGTGTAAATGCTCGCTCTTGCCTGTCTGGGTGTAATGTAGGGGTGACCGTTAGGTGTATTTCCGGAAGAAACAGGAGGGGTGCACAGCTTAGCCCTTTGAAGTCCGAGTGTCTCGGCAGCAGAGCGCATCTCTAATCTCCGTGTCCTTGCTCAGAGGAGCAGGTCCCAGGCTGCCCTCGTGGGGAGCAGGGACGGGCACCGGGAGCTCTGTAGGAAACTGCCGCTCACACACCGGCTAGCACCTGGGAATGCCAGCAGCGCACGAGTCGGTCTCCGCGTGCGTCGGAGTTAGCCTTCGCTCTGCAGGTACCCCTCTGCAGTACTGTTCGAGCCTGCTCAAAATGTTATTCCTGCCCCCTCCCTGCAGTTTCAGTGATGTGGATCAGTTAATGTTTTTTGCAGGTGTGGAAGAGCTCTGCCAGTTGGTTGGGAGAGTTGTTTGTGCTAGCGGTATCTCCACCAAACAGCCTAGTCTTCATAGATACTTAAATGACGCTTTCTGGAAGTGGGGGAGTTCCCGCAGATAAGTGTTTGAACAGTGTGCGTGTGTTTTTCTGCCTCACCAGGGAAGTCGATACCGAATTACCATCAGTGATATTACATAACATTTGATACTTGTTTTCCTCAATCCAGTCTTCAGCTTAATGCCCTACAGCTTCACTTGCGAGGCTTCCACACCACGTGTCTCGCCGTCGGGATCTTACAAGGGTTGTGCTTTTTGAAAGGCCACGCTGGACCGACTTTATGTTAGCCCAGGGCTTCCCCCAGCTCAGGAACATCGGACGAACTCACCGTAGTTGAACAAAAGGTACAGAAATATGTGCGAGCAGCAGTAACTTACCACCTCCTGGGGAAACAAAAGCCAAGTGCAGGTTGAGAATGTCCCAAGATAATTTCCCTTGACAGTTAACCATCTGGAATTTTTGATGTGATGCTCGTACAGAGTCCCTGCTACTACTGAGTAAGAAATTGAACCTGTTGGCATGCTGGATTGCGGTTCTGCTTACGCAGAAACCTGACCGAATGGGAGCTGCTCGTAGGCACAAGGAGGAGCCTCTGCATTGCCAACCGAATGGCTCTGAGCTTCTCTAGTAGGAAGCATTTTACTGCACAAAGAAGTATAAAAATCACTGGTAAAGGAGTATTCTTGAAGGCAGTTTTGCAGATCATGTGATGAGCTGTGCCTGCCGGACGAGAAATGAGATTTTCCTGTCTAGTAGCTTCTTGGCCGCTGTTGAGGCTACAGATTTGACCTAGTGGACTTGTCACTTTGTCAGGGCTAGTACAGACAGCTGCAGCAGCAGGGATACCGAAAAAGGTTGGTTCAGAGGCAAATATCCTTTGGGGAAGGGTTAGTAGCAGATCAGCAGTGGTGACAGTGTGAACAAAACCACGGGGAAGCAAGCGGGCCGTAGAGGAGGAAGTTGATTTTAGTCTGCTGCTGCTGCTGCAGCACAGCCATCCTGGTGTTTTGGGGAGTAGGTGAGGGTGAAGGAAGAACTGGTGGAGGATTATTTCTGTCTGAACTTGGTTTTCTGTTCCTCTGCTTTCAGGTTGGGGCTTAATGTGTTTGGATTTGGTTGAGGCTTTTCAGGAATGTTTCTAATAGTCGCTTCCTTGCAGTTGAGAAAAGGCTTGAAGCAGCATTCCGAGACAGCTCTTTGGCTAAGATGGAGAGCCCTTTCGCGCTTACCTGTCACTGTTGTCCTTCAGTGCTGCTGCCTGCAGCCAAGCCCTTCAGTAACCAAGGGCGTTCCGAGTCTTTCCTTGCTCGCAAGGTAGTTAAACATACACGGCACGCTGTTGCTATGTGCGTGGGGCTTGGACGTTCGTCATCAACCGTTGTGTGTGGCTAAAAACGCACTGTCGGTGCCAGGCAGGCACATCTGCCTGGGTATTTTTAAACTACCCAGAAAGCCGTTTGAGGGGGGAATGGTTTTGTGCAAAGAGCGAGAAGAGGTCGGGCGGCTTTGCGGGAAACCCAGCGCGGGGGCTTACGCGCGGCTCCAGCGTTTCTGTAGAAAACAAAATGAGCTTGCAGATCTTAATCGGCGTTTTTGAGCGAGTGCCCGTGTCAAAAAAAACTGTTAGCCCTTAGGGGGGAAGAGATGAGGTTCTGGTAAACAAGATTCTTCGTTCAGGAGCGTGCTGCAGGGGCTGGTGGGTGGAGGAAACTGCCCCTGGACCAACGATGTGAGAATGTTTAACACTTCAAGCGGAGACACAGCTAGTGCAAACTCAGATGTAGTCGTCAGACTCTGCCGAAGCAATGTATTTTTTTACTCTTGCTTTGTTTCGTTACCTTTGGCTTCTGGCTCTTTAAAAAGCTTTTGACCCTTTTTGTATGTTTTTGAAAGTAACTTTGGTACCTGAAGGATCTGCGTCAAGGACCTTGGGGTGCGTGCGCTGTGGGCTGCACCTCTCTTACGTGCTTGGGAGGAAGAAAATAAAGTACGAAATGATTGTTTTCGTGAAACCAAAATCGGGCTTGTCAGGTGCTGGCCTAGAGTAACTCACCTCTGCGCTGCAGCTTGTAGTTTTTGGGGCCTTGGTTTCTGTGACTCACAGTGGGTACCTCTTCAGCATAACCAGGATTATTTACTGCTCCTTCAGTTGGTGGCGGTTTCTGTGACTCACAGCGGGTACCTCTTCAGCATAACCATTTATTTACTGCTTATTTACTGCTCCTTCAGTTGGTGGCTGATGACTTAAATCACAGCGTCTGGAAACTGATTTAGGTTCCCCGGGGACCCTGAATTTAATTTTTTCTATGTTTTTGTCAGAATAAGCTGTTTGAGACTTTTTTCCCCAGCAGCTGCTTTGTGAAGCCAGAGTTCTGGACCCATGTCTTCAAATTGTGCTCATCCCGGTTTGGACAGGGGAGAGAAGTTTTGGGGTGGGGCTGCAGTGGAAACAGTATTGTTATTTTTTTAATAACTGCTCAGCTACCACCCCTCTTTGTGCGCTGATGTTTCCCCATCCTGGACTTTCTCTGTGGGCTGCAGCAAGGAAAAGACCCCGAAGGAGGGATCAGGGCTCTCTGGTGCCCCTCAACTTGCTTCCCATGGGATCCTCTCTTTGTATGGCGGGTGAGGGGAGGGCCGAGCGCTGCAGCCAGGATGGGTGCCGCAGGGTTGGGGGGTCTGAACGAATGCCAAGCGCAGAGTTTCTGCCAGAGACAGCTGCCTGCTTGGTAACACCATTATTTCTGCAAATAAGAATTGTCTGAACTCTCATAAACAAGTTATACTTGGGCCTGGCTGGCTGGCACGTTTCTACGATGGAGATTACTCCAGTTAGAGAGAAGATGTGTGTCCGTGTAAAACATTTTTGAATTAAGTTGTTAAGCTTGTACAATTCCTGATATGGACAAAACTGTACCCGTAGGAGTTGCCTCCCTGTCAGGCGAGAGCTGCTGTAGCACTGTTGGTGTGGGAACCCAGCTTTTCCCCCACTGCTGTGACTGCTTTAGTATAACCTCCCGTGTGCCAGCAGTTCTGGTGTCTTATGGCTCTCGTGGAGCTGGTCACATCATAGTGTTTCTTATTCTTTTGCTGCCCTGCTTAAGATTTTTGAAGCTTTAAGAACTGCAAACCAGTTACATTGACTTTTTGAGCTTGTTACATCTTACTGATTTAATGTTCATAGGGAGGTGGGTAGGAGTATGGCAGTTTCGAGTCTTGGCAGTGATTTGCACGGCAGGTGCCGTGCAAAATGTTTTCCCGTAGCGGACACGTTGCTTTTTGCCAACAGAACGATGTCTTTCTAATGCAGGAAAGCTGCAGCTCAGACCCCAAGATGGGAAGGGGGAGGATCTTGCAGACGAGAGCCCTCGAGGGCAGTGATGACCGCTGCGAGTGACTTAAAGCTGTGTGAGGGATAAGCGCTGCCAAAGATTTTGTAGCCTGTCTGTGAGGTGTCTCGCACCTCTGCGGAAATACTGGTCGTTTGAAATAAGCAGAGTTCCCTCCTTGTTTCTTGCAGGTTTACCATGTCTCTACTGACAGCTACGAGACGCAAAACCAGCACTACGGGAGGAGTTTGACAAAGGAAACCGTAAAGGACGGTAAGGGGACTTGTAACTCCGTAACTCCTTGATAGAACCATATGGAGAAAGTAGCCTGTGCACTCCCAGTTTAAAAGCCCCTTTTTCTCCTCTTGCCAGATGGGTTTTTTGCAGTTTCCTGTATCATTTGAACTACCTGTCAGTCCTCAGTTAAGTTTACGGTTGGCTTTGACAGCGGTGTAGTCTCTGGGAATTTCCTCGTCACATGTCTTTTACTACCAATAAGGGGGTGGTAGTGCTGGAACTCAGTTTCTTTGCAGCTCTGAGACTACAATGATATAGAAAACTTTTAGAAGTATTAAATGTTTAAAAAAAAAAAAAAGTTTTAATCCCTGGTTGTCTTTTGTGAACATGTCCTGTCCTTTGTGTTAGGAAGGGACTGTAAACGCATCTTTCAGTTTAAGTGACCTCCTGGGTAGCAGTCGGTCCGTACGTTGCTCTACGTTAGCAACAGAAAAGCTCGCTACCATCGCACGTCTGGTCAGCGGCGATAACTGTTTGAAAGTAGTTATTAATCGATGTCTGTTCGTCTTCCCCCCACGGAGAGACGGGCACAAACACACCCCTCTGCAGAGCTGGCACTGGCTTGTCAGCTCTGTCACTCGTGATAAAGAGTTTCTTGAGTTTCCTTATCCCTGGAGAATTTAAGGGGTCCCTGCCCAGAACTGTCCGGATGCTTACTAAAATGATGTGGGGAGCAGGAGCCATGCTCACCTACTGCTCGATCGAGACACCGAGTAGTTAATTTATTTACAGTGTGAGCCCAGTCTGTAGCCTTCGACAGCCGGCCTTGCACAGGGGAGGTGACCGAAGGGGTCAGAGTTCCTCCGTTCCCGTCTGGTGTAGTTAACAATGGCCCGAAAGGCAACAGTGTGAGCACTGTCTGTTTCTTCAAGTCAAGAACTTTTCTCATCCCGAAAGAAATGAAAAATGCTCCATTTCTTTTCAGAGGTGAAAATAATCCCCAAATGTGTCTGTTCCTTGCAGGCATCTCAAAGTTTTTCCACAACGGGTACTGCCTGAGAAAAGACGCGATAGCCGCCAGCATTCAGAGGATCGAAAAGATTTTGGAGTGGTTTGAGGGCCAGAAGCAGCTCAACTTCTATGCGAGCTCGTTACTGTTTGTTTATGAAGGTTCCTGTCAGGCAACAGCTGTGCGGCTGAGCGCTGTCACCTTGGCAGAGAAGAGAGGAGTGCCCCGGGGACTGTTAGCGGGTGGAGACATACTGGAGTATAATAATAACATCCATGTCATAAATTCTACGGAGAATGGAAAAATTGAGGCCTCTGTCAGTAAAGGCTTGTCCAAATTTTATGCACTTCACAAAAAGGCGTACTCCAAGAGGCACCACAGCCAGCTCTCGCTGAAAGTTGAAAACCTGGAGCAAGGCAACGTGTGGAAGAGCAGCGCGTGCATTACGCAGGAGCATCTGAACGGGAACGTTCTACCCCAACTGGAAAAAGTGTTCTGTCACGTGCCAGCAGAGATCAAGGAAAGTGCAAGCGTGGAAGTCCGGATGATAGATTTTGCTCACGTGTTCCCTAGCAACACAAAGGATGAGGGCTACATTTATGGTCTGAAGAATTTAATCACAGTACTTCAAAATATTTTGGATAACTAAATTCTTTGCTATGGTTTTTATGGGGGGCCAATGATAAGGAAGAGCAACAACATGAAGAATTTCTGCACTTGTAATGCTGTATAACTGGGTTTGTATTGTTCTCTATTTTATTTGTCTTTGTACTTTTGGTAGAAGGGTTTAACTTTTTATAATCTCACTCAGGAAAATAACTGGTAGTTAATTAGGGAGTGTGAAAGGATGAGGATACTTGAGATTAAGCAGGATAGGTAAACTAGTAGAATGTGTATGGTTGGCTGAAATCCAAGGAGTACAGCTGGACGATAAGCCAGGGTTCTGTCCGTTCCCATGACTTTAGCGTAGGTGACACTTGCCCACTTAGCCCTGACCCTGAGCCCTGTCTCCACTAACCGGTCTTTTAGGAAACGGACTGCAAACTCTCAGCGTGCAGGATTGATGTCCTCAGTGCTGCCCTCTCGTGTTTACTGTCTTGAAATAACTGGAGTTAACGCTACTTGGAGAGAACGCCCGTTCTGTCAGTACTCCAACCTGGAAGCCAGCGTATCAAAAAAGAGCTTTTCCACGTCACGGGACAATACTTCCGACAGCAGTACGTGTGGGCGCTTCCCCTCTTGGTGGTTGTCTGTGGTGAACAACGGCTAAGGACAGGCTACCGTGTCGTCTGTGAGGGGGGTGCTAGGAAAATGCTGGAGTAAAATAAGGGAACAGGCTTAAACTGCACAACTGCTAGGGAAACTGGTTGTTCCTGAGGGAAGAGTAAAAGAATGTGAATGGGAGATGCTCCGGGAACTAATTGGTGTAGGAGACTAAGTCAGTCTGTCAGTGTAGCGTCTGATGTGGTGACGAAGGGAAATGCCTCGCCCCTTTGTTCTGACGGCCCTTCTCCAAAAGCATTGCTTTGCAAAGCAGACTGACTGAATGCGGCAACACAGCGTTTTGGGGACGCATACAGAGATTTCCTCTAGCTGTTTGCCGCTTGTATTTTTGGGACAAGCGTTTCACATTTCCACTGCTGGGGAGCACCGACTGGAAAGGAGGAGCAGTACAGGTCAAGGATCCTTACCGGCAAAGATCCAGTTCAGCCCTGGAGCAATCAGACGTACCTCCGTTGGTCGCAGTGGAGTCGTGGCTCTCTTACCCTGGGCCAAAGCCGGCTCTTTTGGGGATTTTTTAAATGACACACAGGCAGGCTGCGTGATTTGAAAGCTGTCCCACTTTTTCACAGGCGAGATGAAAGCTTTCACATGGTGAGACCAGGATGATGTTTCCAAAGCATTTTTGGTGTGTCTCTTCTGTGTGCTGTGTACGTGGCTGTCCTACCATGCCTATATAGTTCAGCTGTACGGAAAGTCGGGACGGAGGGGTCTTGCCACCCGGAGAGCGAGATGATAATGCTTTGAGCAAGCCCCAGAAGTCAAACTTTTTACAATGGATTTGGTCATTGGAAACATACACCTCGTACACGTGGACTTGCCGTGACACCGTGGCCTTGCTGCTCTCTCTGTATGACGTTCCGCGCTATGCGCTTGTTTGTGTACGCACCTTTGCAAGTGCTGGATTTGACAGCCGTTTTCTACGTCGGAAAAAGAGGAATACTTTTGATTTTTTCAAGCAAATGCTGTTTTAAAGAAAGCCGAAATTTTAGCGCTTTGGGTTAATTGGAAGAAACAGGGTATTATGTGAACTACTGCGTCGTTTAACTTTCACAGCTGATTTTGGCCAATACGTTCAAGATTGAAACCAATCCGTTAGTGACATAATGTTGCTGAAGCGTGGGAAGAGACGCTTGCAGGAGGGGCATAGCATTTTGTCAACAACTTTATGCAAATTGTGGTGAAGGCTGAGGGGAAAATATCAGGAAGAGCAAGTATTCCCCCC